GGGGGTGGTGAGCCACAAGGAACACACTGAGGCTCCGGAAAGCCACGAGGAACTCACTGCGGCTCCAGGCAGCCACGAGGAACTCACTGCGGCTCTGGGCAGCAATAAGGAACTCATTGTGGCTCTGGGCAGCCATGAGGAACTCACTGTGGATGCAGGAAACTGCAGGGAACTGGCTCCCAGCAGCCACAAGGAACTCACTGTGGCTCTGCGCAGTCACGAGGAACTCACTGCGGATGCAGGAAACCACAGGGAACTCACCGCAGCTTCCAGGAGCTGCTGGGAACACCATGGTGGGGGCCAGGAGCCACTGTGAGTTCCCCGTGGCACCCAACCACTGCTGTCCCTTTCTAGGCCAGGACAGGAGACCCCTGTGAATGTGCGGAACCACAAATAGTGATTTCACGCATTGTGAGGGTGACCTGCAGACCAAAGATGGGAAGGCAAAGAGAGAAGAGAAGTGACCAGTCCCAGGGCTGCAGAAGATGCGACAGAAGTGAAAGCATTCGGTGCACTACGGAACTCAGGTTGTACAGCGTGAGAATAACCCTCCAGGCCCCTTTGTGGAGTAACAGCAATCACAGCTGCCATCAGTGAAATTACCGGTCGCTGGGAGGAGAGAAAGAGTGATAACAAAAGGCTTCCCTGGTGGCACTTAAGAGCTCTGCCTTTGCCAGCAGGAGAGGTGCTGGTCCAGACATGTCAAGCCGTGAGGAGAAGAGGAGGAAACAAATCGAAATCCGGGCAGCGCAGAGGAGACATGATTTAATGAGCTACAGTTGGATGTTATTTTTATTTCAATGATATAAATATTGGCTTTCATTCTGACTAATTCTCAGCTTAACTTACATTTTAACAGAAAAGGGCACAAATACAATATATGGAAAAAACGTGTCCACGAGAGAGGTGGATTTTCAGAGATCCACCTTCAGCACTTCTGAGGGGGAAAAAACCCAAAACCAGAGATCCACCTTCAGCACTTCTGAGGGGGAAAAAAACCCAAACCCCTTTGCTATGATTAGAGATGGGTGAATTTTTTTTCACAACCTCTTGGAGTTTAAAATTGAATACAAGTGATCACATATTAGTAGTATTGTTGTCAGTGGGATGAGTTTAAAATTGAATACAAGTGATCACGTATTAGTAGAAATGTTGTCAGTGGGACCGATGGCCACCACAGGCCCTGGGGGATGGCAGGGGAGGGGCTGGTTCTGCATCCTCAGAAGGGGCAGGGCCAAGGGCAGAAGGGGCGGGGCCAAGGGCAGTCCCGCCCAGCTCTCACAGCTCTCCCGCCCTCAAAGCCGTGTGGAGTGGCGCTCTGGCTCTCAAGGGGACCAGGCTTCCTGCTACTGCAGTAGCAGCGACAACAGTCAGGCCCCTTTGAATGACCAGGCTCAGGGGAATTGCCCCTTTAGTCCCCCTCCCCTCTCGGCGGGCCTGGGTGATGTACAAATAAAAAGCAAAAAAAAAAAAAACCCACCCAATCCTTATTCCTAGAGCTTCACGTTCATCCGTACTCACCCCCTTTGCGTGTGCTTCTGACCCATAACCTAGGGGAACCGAGTCTGACTGGTACAAAGCATTGTGAGTTTCAAACAGCACAAAAGCTGCACCATTTCAATGGCGAGGTGCTCCGAAAAAGGGCACTTCAATTTCACACATGCAAGTGTTCACATTAAGTGAGATCGTCCTGCCAGGCAATCCAGGCCCAGAAAGGCTGGTTGAAAATTTTTCATCTCAACTTCACATTCCAACAAAAGGCACCAAAAGTTACATAAGTGATTTGGCAGACGTTTTAGTTTAGTTTTTCATCAGCCAACAAACCTTAACAGTGCAAAACAGCACCCATTTCAAATATTAATGCTCCGTCTAGAAAAAGAGAAATATTCTAATTTGTCAGATAAAATTGGAACCATAAATACATTTGAAAAATTGTTCTCTGCGTGTAGGTGCCCATACACTAGCCTAAGCAGAAATAAGAAGCTAGATAATTGTTTGGAGAAGCCTTGATAGAAACAAGAGCAAAAATAGATGCTACATACATCAACTTGATAATCTTTTACATTATAACATCGAAGCACAGAAGGAAAAGAAACAAGTAATGAAATCGGATTTTAAGTGGCCACAAAAGAAATCAGCCAAAATAAGCTGTGTAGTAGCGATAGTGCTTAGTTAAAGTTCAAACACAGTTTTATGGGGGTTGTTTAAGTCCGGTAATTACTGTAGGAAGTGTCTTTATATTTATGGAGTGAAGAGTTATTGGAGAAATGGGATTCTCGATCATAAAAGGAGGGATACCTCAGAGATAAAAATACACAGGGCCTGGTGTTTCAAAGGTACTGAATACAGTGGCTCAGGGGAACAAAATAAAGCAAATTTTCCTTTCAGGGAAAATCCCAATAAAAAAAAAATTTGAAATTTTCAGCAGACAAGAAGTTTCCATTGAAAACTTAATTCTTTTTTTTTTCAGGGAAATCAAACATTTCCTGCAAAATAAGCATAACTGAAAATCAACTTCCGTGTTGGATAAAAAGTGTCGAGGGAAATTTTTCGACCCGCCATTGTGTTGAACACCCACAATTCCATTGGAGCATCACAGGAGTTGTAAAAGACACAGCACCATGGTTCAAATGAGAGAGCAGTCTTCTGGCTGTGTGTTCCTTGCCCCTACTTATGCAACATGCTACAGGCAGCACATATTAGACACACATGACCAATCTGAAAATCCAAGCCCAGCTCCGGAGAGTTGAATTCTCAGCTTCCAGGAGTTGTGCATATTCATGAGACCTAAACTCGGAAATTCCTTTTGAAAAAGAAAAAAAGTATATATAAAATATAGAAACAAGGTAAGTAGACTTTACTAGGCAAGGACATGTCATGCAGCAGCACTTGCCAGATCTGCTTGGTGCACTGATGGCTCCAATGCCAGCTTTCCACTTGGCATTTTATCACAGGGATTTTCAAGAATATTTGCTGATGGAAAGAAAAGCAAATGGGAGCTGGCAGGTAAAAATGTGCCTGAGATGGTGAGCTCTGCAATACGTGGTGGTGGAAAAGGATTCTCTGGCTGGTCTCATAACAATCTTTTCTTCTTCTTCTAAGTCAGATGTTCTGGAGACAGATCGACCTGGACTGAACTCTCTTTGCGAAGCACTGCTGTTGGTTTTGAGCTGATTGGAGCAATAACAAGAGAGAGTCAGACTGCAGATCTGCATACTCAAATGACAGAGAGGAGGGGTTTGATCTTGTAACCAGTTTCCAATTGGGTATGTTTTTAAGAATGCATGTTAAAATACATGGCAAAGAGGTTGGAGCTTGTGTCCGTACGGCATGGCTGGCTGTTTTTAAAAATGTACAGGCTTGCCTCTCTATGGCTGACACAACATTATCAAATAACGATGTAAAAGGCATGTGGAAATTAAGAAACTATAGGTTGAACCTCTCTAGTCCGGCACTCTCTGGTCCAGCAACATCTGTGGTCCGGCATGATTTTAGTTCACTGGATGACCAAATACGATGGGTGTGGCCAAGTCTCCTGCAGTCCCATGAAGTTTGTTTACAGCCACCAGGCCTGGCTCTCAGTGTTTTGTGCTGTGATTTAGCTCTAATTTACCCCTAAATGTCTTCTCAGAGCCCAGTAAGTGGAAGTGTTGGTGCTGCGCTAGACAACATTGATCTCCCATGGTTTGACAAATTCTCTGAATCAGCACTGGTCAGGTCCCAAGGGTGTCAGACTAGAGATTCAACCTGTACACAAACAGGTCAGCCAGAAATAAGGGCCTACGTTTCAACGTTATGTATGTTCCAAAGTGACTCAGGAGCACAGGTTCAAAGGACTGAGTTTATTCAAGGCCCAGTGTTGAGTCTTCCCTAACAGAATTCCTTTCCAACTGAGATTTCCTTTCGGAATTGCTGGCCCAGAGAAGGATTGGGTTTGAGTTTGGAAGATTTTCACGTTAATCAGACATGCTGTGTTGGAGTGATGGAACCTACAGCAATTTTCAAAATATAAATATATTGCCCAATCTTTGCTCACACACTATTAACAGAACACATTAGTCACAATGAAGAAATGACACACTCAATGTTCTGCTCACAGAACATCCCGGCCCTGATTGGATGAACAGTCAAAACTTCCAGAAAGAATATTCAATTTGCTTTCCACAAACAAACTGGATCTCAAGTGTTCATGGAAAGCACACACCAAAGTGGAGCAAACATGCCACAAGGGACTTCAATAAGCAATTTGAATGAATATAACATGTAAATACATGTTCATTGTGACCTAGCTCTAATCCTTGCCCAGAAATGATCTACTGAAAAACTTCAAGCTGGTTTGTTACCCACATCTTCAGTCGCTCATTTCTTTTATCTGAGAGCCTACTACGTTGGATTCAAACATCTGGCAGCTATGTGAGGGTCCTTGGGTATCTTAGAAATTCTATGAGATAGCTGGTGAGTGAAACAGACTTCATCGATCCTAATTTAGGCTTTCACTTTCACTAGGGGGCTGGAGCACATGACCTATGAGGAGAGGCTGAGGGATTTGGGCTTATTTAGTCTGCAGAAGAGAAGAGCGAGGGGGGATTTGATAGCAGCCTTCAACTACCTGAAGGGAGGTTCCAGAGAGGATGGAGAGAGGCTGTTCTCAGTAGTGACAGATGCAGAACAAGGAACAATGGTCCCAAGTTGCAGTGGGGGAGGTCTAGGTTGGATATCAGGAGTAATTATTTCACTAGGAGAGTGGTAAAGCACTGGGATGGGTTCCCTACGGAGGTGGTGGAATATCCATCCCTAGAGGATTTTGAATCCCGGTGTGAGAAAGCCCTGGCTGGGCTGATTTAGTTGGGGTTGGTCCTGTTTTGGGCGGGGGGCTGGACTTCATGACCTTCTGAGGTCTCTTCCAGCCCTAGGAATCTATGTTTCTAAGCCGTTATCCATCTTCATTCTAAAGAAGCCTTCAATATGATCACTAGGGATTCAGTCCTGCAAAGGAATCCAGGAGGGAACACCCTCATATCTGACCTAAAATTCGGGACAAGCCAATCCAGACCATGGCAGGACTGTTTTTACGGAGAGGTGCTAAGAATATCTCTACTTTGATAGCATGCTAATAAATGAATAGTCCAGGATAATTCTATTGAAAATGGGCTACTGGCATCTGAGGATATAAAAAAAAAATCCTCCAAGTTACATAATTGCACGGACATTGTCATGAATGTATATAAGTGCTTCACAACTCTTAGTAGATTTTAAACTCCCTGCACCCCTAGGAGGCAGGGACATATATCCCCATTAAACAGACGGGGAATTAAGATACCAAGAGGATTAAATGACTTGCCCAAGGTTACACAGCAACTCTGTGACTGAGTTCAGAATTGAATGTGGGTTTCCTGAATCCCAACAGTAGCCTCTCCACTGAATCGCCCTTCCTCCCCCACAACACTGTAGGCAGAATTATTACAGGACAGGTTTGGCAACCTGAAACTTATTATAGAGTTTTCGATCCATTCTCCCCTCCACAGTTTGGCCCAGTGAGGTTGCAGAGCTACCAAATAAAAATCTGTGCATGATCAGTATATCCTTGTTGTGCCTCCGTATAGTGAAAATTGCCTGGGAGACCTTTCTCCACAATCTGCAAACTAGAGCTGGTCACTTTTTGTTTAAATACAATTATTTTGCTGGTGGTTGAAAAATGATGGCCCATCCCCACCTTCCATTTTTAAGAGCTATATTTGCATGAAAAAAATAATTTTTGAATTTTCCTTTAAGGATGAAAGCATTTTTCCTTCCCCACTTCCTTCTTTGCTCCCACTCTCCCCATCCCCCCTTTTCAGTGACGACATTGATTCAGGCGGAAAAAGAGAATGAGATGGGGAGGAAACACAGGGGGGACACTGATTCCAAACATTTTTAAAATCACACACTTTTGCTATTAAAAAGCATTACAAAAACACACACGTGAATATTTCTCCTGTTTTCTAAAACTGCAAAATGAAAGTGAGCTTAAGCCCCTCCCCCAATTTAATTTCCCGTTTGATTAGCTCCCTGTGAAACAAAAAGGACAAAGATCGGCTCTGAAGAAGTCTATGGAATCACACTGGGTAATTTACCCCAAAGTGTTCTTCCTCTTAAGCAAATGCAGTAAAGATTTCACTCCCTCCACCCCAGTCTGCCCAACCATCTCTTTGCCACTATTGTGCCTGCTAACAGCACTGACCACATGAGAGAGGGATGCTAATATTTCTTGTTTTCTGTTCCAGAATAAAGGAAAGGGTAATTAAACAATTGCAAGGGACAAATGAGCCATAAAAACAAAACAAAGAAGAAAAGCGGACTGAAAATACTCATGTGTATTTATGAATAGAAACGCTCTTGCTGAAAACTCCAAGGAAGAATGAATACCAAGGAAATGTGCTCTCAGACTGTCCCTCCAGTTATAAATGCTGCTGACTGTATGAGAGCTGTGTACGCAGAATCTCTGCAGTAGTTTTGATAGTCTCCAGCCGTTCACATTAACCCAGGGAGGAGGAGTTCACTCATCCCATTTTCCAGTTGTTGGCATTATACAAACTTTGCACACAAAGCTGAATTCATTTCAATACCTGATGAGCCTCTTTCCATTAGAGTCCCTTTGAATAAAAGCTTCAGGGGGTAGCCGGATACATCTTTTGTTAGTCTATAAAGTGCTACTAGACCATTTGGTGTAAGTTTATCCTTTAAATCAAATTAGTGAAGGTAAAGCAAATGGAAACTTAGTTCTCAGATCAGGCGGCTGCAGTCCGAAGTAATCACAGGATTAGGGAGGTCCCCAGGGAAGAAAAGAATAATAAGAATTTGAAATGATAGGAGAGTGAAACTATTAACTGTCTTGTGCCCTAGGACAGAGGGACTGGTCTTTATGCAATAAATCAGTTTATTTTTCATTTGTTTTTGAGTTCACCGGATGCCCACTTATCATGGGTGTGGCCAAATTTCCCGCGGTCCCAAGAAGTTTGTTTACATCTCCCAGTCCTGGCGCTCAGTGTTCTGTGCTGTTATTTAGCTCTAATTTACCCCTAAATATCTTCTAAGAGCTTAGTAAGCAGTGGAAGTGGAAGTGTGGGAAAAGCTGCTAGACAATATTGACCTCCCGTGGTCTGGCAAATTCTCTGGATCAGTATTGGTCAGGTCCCGAAGCTGCCGGACTAGATATGGATTGTTTGAGTTGAACGATTATTTTGGGGAGAATCCTGGATTAGTTTGGGAAGGCATGTCCTTTGATGAATATACAGGATCAAAATTGACATTTGATGTAACTTGAGAAAAAGAAAAAAAAAGAGGTGGGGACTTTTCAGCTTAGAAAAGAGGAGACTAAAGGGGGAAATGATAGAGGTCTATAAAATCATGACTGGCATGGAAAAAGTGCATCAGGAAAAATGTTTTACTTGTTCCCATAACACAAGAACTAGGGGTCACCAAGTGAAATTAATAGGCCAAAGGTTTAAAAGAAAGAAAAGGAAGTTTTTCTTCATGCAGCACTCAGTCAACCTGTGGAACTCCTTGCCAGAGGATCTGGTGTAGACCAGGACTTTAACAGGGTTCAAAAAAGAACTAGATAAATTCGTGGAGGCTAGGGCCATCAATGGCTATTGGCCACAATGGGTAGGAATGGTGTCACGGGTAGGAAATGTGTGACAGGAGACAGATCATGTGAGGATTCCCTGTTCTGTCCATTCCCTGTGGGGCATCTGGCATTGGTCACTGTCGGAAGATGGGATATGGGACTAGATGGACCTTTGTTCTGACCCAGCATGGCTGTTCTGATCTTATGTTCTAACTCCATTACCTTCAATAGGAAACCTTCAGTGGCACACACCCTCTCCAGTGACTTCTATTCCACCTCTCTCCAGATGAAGGGAGCACATCTGAGAGGAAACAGGGGTGAGGTGGAAGGAGCAATCTGTACCATGGACATCTGAGACTGTGGGAATGAGACTGTGGGAATCAGGACTGTGGGATGAACAGCATGAGCTGTTCATCCCAATCCACTGTGGAGGGTGTGTGACCATTCTGTACCAGTTAAGCCTTGTGGATCAGCACCAGGGTGGTTAGGGACAGAGTGGAAGATGTTAGGCTGCTATTCAGTGGGGCATCTGTTCATGAACACTTATTCTAATCCAAAACTCTTCACTCCAACCATAGTCAGGCCCTTTACGCATGTGATACGACCGTTCATGTATATATGCTTGGGAAATGATTAATTCTTCATATAACTAGCCACATCGGGCATGGGATTAAAAGTTCCGCTCCCCCAAGCTTTATGGCAAGTGGCTTTTGAATATAGATGTGCATAACCCGGAGATGCTTTGGATAAAATACCTCATCGAACCTATCCATTTTAATGTCACAGTCTGATGGATCTACCTTCACATACAAGAATGATTCATGTACCAAAACAGGATATACAGATAAGAACAGCCGTACTGGATGGACCTTTGGTCTGACCCAGTACGGCCGTTCTTATCTGTATATCTTGTTTTGGTACATGACTCATTCTTGTATGTGACGGTAGAAATGTGAAATGAGAGTCTGTTTCTGGGTTTAAATGGGCTAATGAGAGCCATTACAGGTGTCCAGGAAGCCTAAGGACTGGGTGATCAACTCAGTGACTTGTAAACAGCCTGGTTTATCCTTGTCCTAGGTGGTTGGTCCTAGGAAGATATGGGACCATAGCAACTGGATACTGGAATCCATTTTGAACCTGGTATTTTTCCATGGATGGGAAGCAACCCCCTTCTATCTTTGGCCGATCTGGGTTCCGGACTGGGTGAAAATTGACAGGATAAAGGATAGAAGGTAAGTCCCCCTTCCATAAGGTGAGGGGTGGTAACTAGGCAACAGCAGGTGGCAACCTGGTACATAAAGAAATGATGTAAGTGGTTTGTATATGTTTTTAAAAGGACACTGCAAATGATGCACACTGACCGACCTGCGGGGGGCGCACTAGGCACCTGAATGGCAGTTGTCATTGCCTAGACTTACAGAATACCCAGTGGCTTAACTCTGATTAACTGCTGTTAATATCTGTTCTATGGCAATAGGCCTGCTATGTGTTGGTGCACTGTCAACGTGGGCCAAATGCACAGTGGTGTAGCGTTGAGAATTTCTGCTACCAGCTGTTAGAGCTTCGCATTTGACAATAAACCTGCTCGATTGATTTGTACCTTGCCTGAATCTGTCGTTTCCAGGGGCTCTCAGAGTTCTCCTGTGTTGACCCAAGTGCAACACTCTAGGTAAAGGGAGCACTGATATCGATGCACGCAGCCGAAAGTTGATCATCACCGACGGAGTGGAGGTCCTGTCAGGGGTGCACCAGGACAACCCCAAGAACTCTGACCGGAGGACACTGATCGCTGACAGTACAACACTGGCAATACAACACCTAACAGGTTTTCTGTGACCACACCCTGACACCCAATTCACTGTTTATTACGTCATATATGTTGCTTATTAATAACTATTCCTTATTCTCCTGCTTCAGAGGTTTCAGGCATCCAGTCAGGGAGTGGAAACAATACCATGTGATTTAGGCCACCAAGTCCACCACCATTAATAGAGAATACAGCTGCTAAAATGAATATGGAACGATCGTTTTCACCCTGTACATTCACAAACTATTCGGCTAATACGTGGAAATAACAAATACAGGAGTTGAAACTAGGATCAACACAAAACAAAATAGAGTTTACATTTATTTTCTGCTAGCAGATTTACTCGGCATTGCTTGGGTTCTTAGCTCAATTCAATTTTTTTGGAGGTAGGGGGTGGACTAAAATGAAAATGTACATGCTTTGTTTAAATGACTGTATTTTTCAAAACTACAGTTTATTTTGATGACGTTAATTTTATTTTGTATTTCTTAAAGAAGATGTTAAACTGTTTCCATTCATTTTTTTAAATGGGAATTCCATCAAATGTATGTCTTCCTTCATCCTTAAAAACTCTTATAATTCGCTATATTTTATCATAAAAAGGGATATAGTCAATTTGGCTTCCAGTAAAATTTTCTTCCAGTTTTTAAATCTTAAGCATTGATGTAGCTGTGCCAAAACAGAGCACTATCCATATTTCTCCATTTTAATTCTTTTCTGTAAGGTTTATTGAGAAGCAATGCTATTCCAGGCACATCCTATTTTTCTGGCTCATCTCATATCAATTTTGCTCAGTTATATCAATTTTGAGGACTGTACTTGATTTGGTAATTCTGTCTCTTGTGTGGATGGTTTAATGAGAAGCAATCCCATTCCAGGCACATCCCATTTTCCTGGCACAACCAAACCCTGACCTTGATTTAAGTTACAATAAAAGGAAGCTGTATACCCAGTTTGGTGGTCCTATCTCTTACCATGTAGGAGGCATTCTTGAACAGACAGGCAGGCAGGCAAACAGACACACACACACTCTCTCAATGATATAGTAGTTCAGATGCGTAATTCAACTAGCTCCAGTCCTTTTCTTTATCACCAAGTATTTGACTTTGAATATTTAATCACAGTTACAATTTAACTGATGCTCATGCCATCCCTTCCATCATCTGGCAGAGATAATTTCAATGGCAGTCAGCCAATTAGCATCTCTACTTCATGACAGGCAGACCTTTTGCTTGAAAAGGTGATGACCTAAGGTCCAATCTAAGTTGTAATTTCCTCTCTCATTTGAATCCATTAGCTGCATGCACGCAGCTGAATTTAAATATGAAATTCCGTTTCACAGCTACAGAACATGTATAATTTCATCTCCCTGGCCCGAACACTTACAAATCAATGCAGTATTACCCTTTATTGGACAATATGGAACAAAATTGTTAGAGGATTGTTTGATCAAAAAGGAAACAGTAACATGTTATAAACACACAAGTGGCTTCAGCATAACACATTTAATAAGAGAAGACATTGCAGATTTCACAAGATACACATCTCTGTGCAAAGGACACAAATATAAAACCATTCCATTGTAGGAAATTTAAATATTATTAAAATGTATGATGGGAAATACAAAGGAAAATTTACTGTGGAAAATGTTTCTGTATTGTCATGAAACATTTCATAGTACAAGTGTATATTAAAACTGTATCTGCCAATTCACAGAGTAATTTTATGATCTATACCTAATGTGTCTTTTTCCATTTACAATGTATGGTAAAGTACATTTTCACCATATAAATGTATTTTTTCTCTTAGAAGTGTGATGTACATTGTAACATCATTATTAGTCTACAGTAAATACTAACACGTTAGCTCTGAAACCTGCAATAGCAGTATTGCCCTTTGTTGGGTATTGTGACTTTAAATGTCTAAGGATTCTACTTATGCTGAGATGGTAGCTATTTTGTTCTCAAGGTCTCAGCAGTTTGTTACAAAAGGTCACACTGAGGCTATGTCTACAATATTAGCTAGGAGTGAAAGTCCCTTGCTCATATACTCATACTTGTACTAGTTTAGGCCAGGTCTACACTGGTGGAGAAAATCTATGCAAGATACACAACTCCAGCTATGTGAATTGCGTAGCTGCAGTGGACGTACCTTACATTGCTTTTTCTGGGGCAGCCCTACAGCGGGAGGTCAATGGGAGAAATTCTCCCATCGACTTCCCTTATTCCTTGCAACAGTGAGGAGTACTGGCACCTACGGTGGGTGCCCTCAGCATTCCATTTAGCGGGTCTTTAGTAGACCTGCTAAATCGAGCCTTGGAAGATTGATTGCCCGAATGTCGCTCCTCCTGTAAGTGAGAGCTCTCAGGAGCACGAGTGTAATTAGCAGCATTGATAGTTGCTTTGGGAGACACATCTTAGACTTGTTGAGCACAAACCTGCCTGAAACTGCTGCGGATGGACTCAGCACAGCAACATCATTCATTTCCTGCCACTATCCAGGCTCCCTTGGCCACATGGCTATTTATACGCACACTAACTTGATAAGAACTAGCCCGTGTATATGTACGTAAGTAGGGGAATCACACTTCTAGCTTGTGCCGACATAGCCAAATACTCCCCATACTCTCCCTTGGGGATACTTACATGCCCTCTTATTTTCCTTAATTCCCCATACTCTCCCTTGGGGATACTTACATGTCCTCTTATTTTCCTTAATCTAAATTAAAAAGCTTTTCAAATGTAAGTATACAGATGGCTTTTATGGATACGAAACAAAAACCTCCAAAACAAACAACCAAACAAAATTTGTTCGGGTTTGGACAATTACCGTACAACAACTGTTGGTTTTGTTATCTTTTAATTAGATTCACCCTATAATAAATATTTGCAAATTGGCCTGTAGAACTGCTTTATGCCCATCACAGTATGTTTTCATTGCCGTGTTCACCAGTACATCTTTTAGTACATGTTTCTGATTGAAAGGAACAAGCCCTAACTAGGGAAACCGACATATGCACTACCTTACTCATGCTCCTGCATCTAGTGCCCTCCTCCAACAATGGCAATAGTTATTAAATATGTATGACATCTTTCACACTCTTGTGTAACTTAATGAGCCACACGACAAGACTGGCAGCTGGAGTGTATCATTTATTAGTAAAGCAAAAGTGACTAACTACACTTATTAATACATAATTTGTTTCTAGCTCACAGCACTATAAAACAAACAGCAGCACTTGTATTTTATTTATATAGCGCTTCCCATCCCGAAGGACACCAAAGCACTTTACAAAAGCATAGAGCCACCTCGTTAGGTTAGGACAGCAGCACACCGCTAACAGGAGAATGGGAAGAGGATAAGATATTTACATTTAGGACTCCACCCTGATCACAGCACTTGTGAGAAGCACCACAGAATAGTTGATATCCACACCAGCGCTTGGTTTGTAAGGTTTCATTGGTTATAAATCTCAGCCCATTATCTGAATCTTCATTCTGCACCCACGTCAATCAGTCAGCGAGTTGTTATTTGAGGTCTAGTTACAAACGTTAAAAGGACACCAAAAATAAAACTTAAACATTAGTTACCTGCATTACTGATAACCCAGGAGATTATTAAACCTGAAAGAATTTTTAAAATCGAATTTGCTTTTTACCATTTCTACTGCTTGGCTTTACTTCAGTTGGACACTGAAAGAAGAGGGCTCAGTTTCTAGTAAATGTCAGTTCTTGGGTCTTAACCCAAGGACCATCAGATAATGTTCCATCCAGCAAGGGGCAACCAAGTAGAAGGCAGTGGAAATGACTGACTGGGGGCATGGATTTTGGAAAAAAGAGGAAGTATAATGTTCCATCCAGCAAGGGGCAACCGAGTAGAAGGCAGCAGAAAAGACAGACTGGGGGCATGGACTTTGGAAAAAAGAGGAAGTGGTTATTAGCATGGGTTGGGGAGATAAATAGTTGTGAGGATTCATTGGCCCAAGTTTGTCAACTGGGGAGATAAATAGTTGTGAGGATTCAGCGGCCCAAGTTTGTTATTCTTTAAGGACACTGATGAAAAAGACAGAGAGGATATACTGGTTGCACCTCTGCAAACCAGATCTGTGGTCTGGCAGGAGCGTGCATGCTTCTGGACCAGAGATCCTGGGAGCCTAAGGTCAGGAGGGCCAGCAGCCTGGCTGGGGCTGCGGGCAGTGGGGCTGGAGGAGCCCCACAGCAGGGATGGAGCAGGGGACCGGAGCAGTATGGGGTCAGGGGCTGGAGAAGTTTCGCCGCTCTTGGCAGCATGAGGTTGGGGAAAGGTGGCTGCTCGTGACTGCACAGGTCAGGGATGAAGAAGCCTGTCGACCCATGGCAGCTGTGTGATGGGGCTGGCAGCAGCAGAGAGGACAGCCCAGCTGGGGAGAGTGTAGAGGTAGGGGGACTGTGGTAGGAGACACCTCCCCTGGTCCAGCAAATTCTGTCGTTTGGGACCGGTCAGGTCCTGAGAGTGCCGTCTAGGGAGGTCCAACCCGTAAACTGGAAAATATGCACATTTCTATGTTACATTCTGCTTTCATTAAGATTAATGGCCCAACTCCCAATTCAGCTTAATGGCAGCAGGATCAACTGATGAAGGGATTGCTCCTAGATGGTGCCGCAGGCTTCCTATGATGTGCTAGCAGCCTTCAACTTCCACTGAGGTCAAGTGGAGTTGATAACTCTGCAACCTGGCAGAGTCAAGCCCTAGTAGCTTGGGAAGCACATCTACACGGTGAAACTGGATCGAACAGGAGAAAGAGAGAGATGTAAACAGGGAGATACATCAGAAAATTAAAAAAATTGGAAATGTCAGCCAAATTCTTTTTAAGGAAAATTGCTGAGACAGAGAAGAACTTCTTCTCGGATGGAGGAAACGCTTGATTTTTTTTCTATTGAAACACAAGTGACATGAAAGCAATCATTTTCTTTAATTTTTCATGTCACTTGTGAAAGAAATGATATTTCATCTTCTGTTTGACAGTGTAATAAATGCAATTAAAATGATTTGCATATTAAAGACATTATTACTCCTTCATAGTAAATATTCCCCACACGATGACTTTGAAAAGAAGTCCTTGCAAACAGCGTACACATACTTATGTCAGATTTCACATAATCTGAAATCATGTTGTGTCAAGCTGTCAATTTTAAGAATTCTTCTAAGCCTTGGCAAATCTCATTTTATAATCTCTCTTAAGCAGCGTTTGATTCCCCATAATTGAAGAGAACCAGCAGTTGTGATGTGTTAATTTTTATGCAAGAGAAATAATAGGGTGCCAGAACTACCCTTCCAGCCAACCAGTATTTTGAAAAGC